ACTGCACATCTCAGAGACATTCCACTGCCCAGTCCCAACTCTCCCAGTTGGAGGGCAAACACCCAGGCCAGAGATATCTCCTGTTGGGCCCGCTCTGGGATGCACAGTCACTCATGGGACCCTACGCTCTGCTCTAAGCTCCACCCTGTCTGTGCTGGGCCCCCTCAGAAAAGGATACTGTCCTTGACGACCTTGTATTTCAGGCCGGCCAAGTTCTCCACCATGATGTCGATGAAGCAGGCCACAAGCCCCGTGAGGATCCCTATCATGGCACAAATGACCCAGCGCTTGATCTCCACTGTCCGGAAGGCCTGAGGGGGAGACACTAGTCAGAGGTGAGTGCAGTGACAAGACATCAGCCATAGACTGCTCTAGTGACGACATGACTGGCCCTGGAATTCCCCAAGTCCATGATGGCAGCCTCAGGTCAATGTCTGAGAGAGGATGGAGCATTGGGGTGGGGGTGGGGGGGCGACCTTCCCAACCAAGCCACAATCAGTTGTTGACATCTTGGCCACTGCAGCTGACATCTAAGAACAGCCTTCTTTGTTGTTTTTGAAATGTGACACACACGCCCTTTCCTGTATCAGGTGTTGGGTGTCTCTTGCTCCAGAACACAAACCAGAACCTGCGGCACAGGACTGAGGGCAGGGAGATGGAGGAGACCCATCACCACACCCAGGTGGGAGAGTAGCACCAGCCCAGCCCGTGGGTCCCTAGGGCGGTGTCCAGGCTGCCCGGCCCCAGACTCACCATGTGGTTGATGCGCCTCTCCTCCTCCAGGAACAGCTGGTTCTCACTGTTGTCATAGTCCAAGCTCTGCAGACCAGGGTGACACAGACAACACAATGACTGACCCTGGTGTCCCGGGTTCACGTCGGGCAGGTGGTGGGGGTGAGGCTGGAGAGGGAATGAAGTGCCTGGGGCGGTGTGGGGCAGGGGCACCCAGGGAGGAGGCCCACCTCATACTTGAGGGACAGGAGCTTCTCGTTGTGCGGGATCTCCTTGGGGAAAGGGTGAGGGGGATCCATATTCTGCAAAGGAAGAGGCAGAGTCACACACTGACAACCTAGCACATTGAAGAGCAAAGCACAAATGAGGAGAGGACAGAGCACGTGTCTACTCATCTCATGAGGTCACTACTCTCCTGACCCCAAAGCTGAACACGGATGCCACAAGAAAGGAAACTCACTACAAATACACACCCTTTGTGAACACAGACACAAAATTCTCAGCAAGACGCCAGTGGGTTAGATCCTACAACACACCAGGAATGCAAGGGTAGTTTAACATCTGAAAATCAATTACTGTAACGTCTGTGGTACATTGGAGAATATATTATTGGTCTTTGTGCCAATTTCTAGCACCCGGCTCCTAAAATCCTGGGCATCTCTGGGTAGTGTCTTATGTGAGCTAATGAGCTGGAGGGATCACAGGGGCTCCTAGGCTTCAGGATGGGGCTAGTTGCCAGAGAGATCAAGGTGTGATTAGAGGACAGGAACTTTCAGTCCCAACATCGGTGGAGGGAGAGGGGCTAGAGATTGAGCTAATCACCAACGACCAATGACTTAATCAGCCTGTGTATGGAACCTCCATAAAAACCCTAAATGAAGGGGTTTGGCGAACTTCTGGATTGGTGAACATGTGAGGTGCTGTGGGGTGGCGCTCCTGGAGGGCATGAAAGTTCTGCACCCTTCCCTGTGCACCTACTGTCTGCTGTTCCTGAGTTGTAGCCTCTATAATAAATCAGTAAACATAAGTAAAATATTTCCCTGAGTTCTGTGAGCCCTTTAGCAAATTATGGACCTAAGGAAAGGGTCTGGGGAACTGTGATTTATAGCTGGTCAGTCACAATCACAAATGACAACCTGGACTTGTGACTGGGGTCTGAAGTGGGGGCAGTAGGACTGAGCCCTTAGCCTGTGGTGTCTGTGCCAACATCATGCAGTTAGTGTCAGAATGAACTGACTTATAGGACAACCAGGTGGTATCCGGAAAAACAGAATTAGTTGGTGTGAGGAAAACCCCCACATATTTGTTATCAGAAGTTTTGTGAGTGAAACAAGTGTAATGCCACTTTAATAGAATAAAGGACAGAAAATACATATGACCGCAACAGACACAGAAAAAGCATCTGGCAAAATCCAAGCCCTCTTGCCTTAGCCGGTAGCTCAGTGGTTAGACCATCACTCTGTGCACCAAAGGGTTGTGGGTTCAATTCTCGGTCAAGGGTATGTACCTGGGTTGTGGGTTCACCCCCGCCCCCGGTTGGGTGCATGCAGGAGGCAACTAGTTGATGTGTCTCTCTCACATGGATGTTTCTCCCCACCTACCCCTCCCTTCCACTCTCTCTGAAAAGCAATGGAAAAAATATCCTCAGGTGAGGCTAACAACAACAATAAAAATCAACCCCTCTTCATGATTAAAACACTCAACAACGAGAAATAGAGGGAATTTCCTCAACCTGATAAAGGCATTTAGCAAAAACCCACAGGTAACATCACTGTCAATGGTGAAAGACTAAGCTTTTCCCCTAAGTTCAGGAACAAGACAAGGAGACTTGCTCTTGCCACTGCTATTCAGCATTGTCCTGGAGGTTCTACCATGGCAATTAGGCAAAAGAATGAAATAAAAAGCATCCAGATTGTAAAGGAATAAATGAAACTCTATTTGCAGATGACATTATTTTATATATAGAAAATCCTCCAAAATAGACTAAAAAACTGTTAGAATGCATTCAGTAAGACTAAAGGATACAAGATCAGTATCTACACTAATAAAAGAGAAACATGGTAATTGGCGTACGACCGCTACCCTTCCCATTGGCTAATCAGGGAGATATGTAAATTAACTGACAGCTAAGATGGCGGCTGGCAGCCAGGCAGCTGGAAGCGAACATGAGGCTTGCTTCCTTCATTGAAGGAGGAAGCCAACGTTCCCCGCCTGCGCCTGTGCTGCCGGCCTCTTAAAATAGACTAAAAAACTGTTAGGATGCATTCAGTAAGACTAAAGGATACAAGATCAGTATATAAATATAAAATTTATCTCTATGCATTGGCAACGAACCATCTGAAATGCAATTAAGAAAACAACCATAGCCGGGCCTGTGTGGCTCAGTAGTTGAGCCTTGATCTATGATCCAGGAGGTCACAGTTCGATTCCTGGTCAAGGCACATGCCCAGGTTGAGGGCTCAATCCCCAGTAGGGAGCATGCAGGAGGCAGCCAATCAATAACTCTCTCATGATTAATGTTTCGCTCTCTCTCTCCCTTCCTCTCTCTCTGAAATCAATAAAAATATTTTTTAAAGAAAACAACTCTATTTACAACAGCATGAAAAATAAAATAAAAATTTTCCCTAAAATACATATAACGAAAGTGTAAGATTTGTATGCTGAAAATTATAAAACATTGTTGAAAAGAAGGAACTGAAGACCTAAATAAATGAAAAGATATCATCTTTTAGGAACTATCTTTTGTGGTAAAAAGGCCATTTACTCAAAGTTTACTTCCCACCACACCAGGGCCCTCCTCCAGCCTACCTGGCATCCCTCTTCCACCCACAGCACCCGCCCTGGCCTGCTTCCTCTGCTTTCCATCAGCATTCAACACCTGTTACACACTTCCCCTACCTGGCTTGGCCTTGGGGAACATGGCCCCTCAGAATAGCCTTCCCTGGTCACCTAGGCTCTGGGGGCCCCAATGCCTGCTCCTCATTGTCTCTGAGCTCTGCTCAGCCCATTTCTGTCTCCGAGTTCTGTATGGCCCTGTCCATATCTGTCCCTGAGCTCTGCACAGAATTGCCCACGTCTGTCACTGAGCCATACACAAAACTGCCCGAGGTCTGCACAGATTTGCGCACGTCTCTCACAGAGCCTACACCCGCCATCCTCTGGGTTTTCATTTACTGTCTGCCTTTGGCTAGGTCGCAGTTCCACCAAGCAGGCCTCGTCTGTCCTTCCTGGGTATAAACGGGAATGACTCCCACTCACTGGGTCCAGAAGCTCATCGTCCGGCTCCACGTTGCTCATCTGTCCGATCTGGAAAGACGCCGAACGGGGCGACTGGAAGCAGAAGAGAAATGACAGGGCACTTAGCCACAGGCCCAAGTTACACTAAGCATCACCACCCCACCAGGATAGTCTGGCCTCATCTGGCCCTGCCGGGAGAGCATAGACCCACACCTACAGTGTGGAGGACGACAGCAGGGCCAGTGCTGGACCCAGGCCTGTCCCCACCACCCACAGCCTGTCATCAGGATGTCCAGCCTCAGAATGGGAAGCCCAGGCCTTCCCTACAGCAGGGGCCCTGCCCTTCCTTGTTTTAGTGAGCTTCAGAGATTAGACACCAGAACCCAGGGCTGCAGGCAACCTTGCTGGTGTCCTCCTGGACACCTTGGCCATCCTCCCCTGGCCAAGAAAACCCGGGCCCAGAGCCCCCCAACCCATTCTCCATGTGTTCCCCCACCATGAGACAGTAGTTCTGCCACGGGCCTCCAGGCCAGCTCTCCAGACACGTGGTCTGAGGCCCTCCTCTCCAGGGGCAGGAATACCCTCAAACCCCAGAACCCTCCCACTTTGAAGTGAGGCCACATGCTGGGACCCAGGGGGCAGGTCAACCACAAAGGACAGAAGAACAGGAGCGTGACTTCTCTTACACCCACTGCTGGGCATGGCAGCGGCCTGGACTAGGAAACAAAACACAGGCATCAGTTACCTTTTCATTTCAGAGAAGCAACAAACCATGTGTTAGCTCAGTATGCTTCAAATATTGCATACTTGACCTCAAATGTGATTCTTTGTTTCTCTGCAATGCAAATGCAGTTGGGTGCCCTGCATTTCATCTGGTAGCTACACATGCAGTGGAAAAACAAGCAGCCAGCCCAGCCTGTGTGGCTCAATGGTTGAACAACATTGAATGAACCAGGAGGCCACGGTTCAATTCCTGGTCAGGGCACATGTCCAGGCTTAGGGCTCAATCCCCAGCAGGAAGCAGCTGATCAATGATTCTCTCTCATCATTGACTAGAGGCCCGGTGCACAAAATTCATGCACCGGGAGGGTCCCTAGGCCTGGCCAGCAATTGGGCCCATCAGGGCCTTCCAGCTGCCAGTTGGAGGGCCTCCCTTCCCGGCTGCAGGTTGGGACATTCCTTTGTTCCGTGTCACCCCTTGGTGGTCAGCGCACGTCACAGCGAGTGATAGAATGCACAGTCTACGGTTGAACTCCCACGGGGGCACTTTGCATATTAGCCTTTTGTATATATAGATAGGTGTTTCTATCTCTCTCTCCCTCTCCTTTCCACTCTGAAATCAATAAAAACATATTTAAAAAAGAGAAAAAAGGAAAACAAGCAGCCATGATAGGACCAAAGTCTGCCATACACTCAACAATGGACCTCAGAGGGGTATTCAGCCAAAGAGTGCACTGTGACTCCAGTATAGGAAGTTTACAGTCAGGTGAGAACTGGCTACTTTTAGGGGGACAGGAAAAGTGAGGGCACGAGGGGGCTCAGAGGACATGGAAGTTGTCTCAATCTCCTGGCACTGCTGTAAACAATTACAACAAATTGGGGGGCTTATATCAAGAGAAATGTATTCCTTCCCAACTCTGGAGGCCAGAGTCCAAAATCAAGGTGTCAGCAGGCAGCACTCCCTCCCAAGGCCCCTCTCTGCCTCTTCTAGCTTTTGATGGGTGCTGGCAGCTCTTATTCCTTGGCATCTGGCCGCATCACTCTAATCTCTGCTTCCGTAGTCACACAACCTCCTCATTGTGTGTCTGTCCAAATTCCCCTCTCCTTAAGAGGACACCTGTCACTGATGTCAGACTATGCCAATCCGACCTCATCTTAACTTGATCATGTTTGTGAAGATCCTATTTCCATGAGAGGTCCCAGGCACAGGTTCCAGGGACTAGGAGTGGACAGATATTTGGGGTGGTAACATGTGAGGTGCGTGTTCTACTTGAGATCATGCTCCACTTGCACAATGTGCACTTCTCTATGTACATATGGTAAACATCCGCAGAACAGGTGATTAATGAGAGAAAGAGCTGTTTTCTCTTCTAAAAACAATTGACAATGCCCCAAATGGCTGAATCTTATGAGAAAGGCTGTGCTGACCCAGAAAGGGATCCCACCTAAGAGTGAACTCTAAACAGGAGGTGGCCAGGCACTGGCTGCAGTCCCCATGCTCCAGACAGGACACACGTCATCTGGAAGCACGCCCAAGCTGCAAGTCCAACCAAATACATTTCCTTGGGGACATGCCCACACATGCAGACCGGCCAAGCAGACAGGGCACAAAGACGGACAAGCCCAGCTGAGCAATGCCCAGGCAGCGTGAGTCGGACTGTGAAAGGAAAATGGGAAAACCGATTTGCCATCCAACCTGACAGATGGAGCCCACAGAAAGAGGCAGTCTGACCACTTTATCTTATTTGTCACTGATCGTAAAGCAGCTCAATTACATCAGGCAGTCCTTCCCACCACACCAAGGCAGCCCAGAGTCGAACCCCATAAAGCATTTCCTTTCACATCTAAACGTTTCTGGGGCCAGGCTGTGACCTCACACACAGCCGAGAGAGAGAAGGGGCGACTCACTCGTTCAGATGACAAAAGGTCCTCTGCACCTGGCCTTGATGCCAGATGAGCAGGGGACGGCACCCTGCGGAACCGTGTGGACCCAGGAGGGCTGATGAGCGGGAGGGGCTGAGCCCTGCCGCTGCCTTGGGCTGGGCTCTCTCCTTCTCCACACCTTCATGTTTTCATCATCTCTTTTCTGAATTTTATGGGCATCTTTTAGGAACTATTTTTTGTGGTAAAAAGGCCATTTACTCAAAGTTCAATAATTTATTGGGTGTTGCATCTGTTTTCTTCTCTTTCCTTAAACACAAGTTAAATTAAATACTGATTCTTCTAACTACGGACATGCACAATAGCCTGGCTGCAATCTTCCAGAACAGGATCTGAGTGAAAGATTTACATACTGTGCGGTTCCACTGACCTGACACTCTCAAAATGTCAGGCTGCAGGGATGAGAACTAACCAGTGGGGGAGGGGTGACTGTAAGAGTAGGACAAAGGGCTGTGCATGGTAACGGGCATGCTCTGTACCCTGACTGCAGTGGTGTGCTCACACAAACCTACACATGACCTAATAGCAGAGAACCACATACACGCACTGTGCGGATGTCAACACGGGTTTCTGTATTGCACAATGAAAGATGGAACCACAGGATGAAACTGGGGGGAAGGTATGCAGGCCCTCTCTATACTGTCTTTCAATGTCCTGTAAGTCCATAGTTATTTAAAAAATTTAAAAATGTATACACAAATGGGACATCCAACTGAAAACTCTGTGCATCAAAGGAAACAATTAACAAAGTAAAAAGGAAACCTATAAAGTGGGAGAAAACATTTACAAATTACAGATTTGATAATATCCAGAATATATAAAGGACTTGTACAACTCAATAACAAAAAAAACCCCATACACCTAATCTGCTTTAAAAATGGACAAAGGACTTGAATAAATATTGCTCCAAAGGCATACAAATGGCCAATAAGCACATGAAAATATGCTCAACATCACTAATCACTAGGGAAAGGCAAATCAAAACTGCAATGAGCCTGGCTGGGGTGGCTCAATGGTTGGATGTCGACCTTTGAACAAGGAGGTCACAGTTCGAACCATGACTTCCTGGTTAGGGCACATGCCGGGGTTGTGGGCTCGATCCCTAGTTGGGGGCATGCAGGAGGCAACCGATCAATGATTCTCTCTCACTGATCTATCTCTCTCTCCTCTCTTCCTCTCTGAAATCAGTAAAACTATATTAATAAAAGAAAACTATAGCCGTAACCAGTTTGGCTCAGTGGATAGAGCATCGGCCTGGGGACTGAAAGGTCCCAGGTTCGATTCCGGTCAAGGGCATGTACCTTGGTTGTGGGCACATCCCCAGTAGAGGGTGTGCAGGAGGCAGCTGATTGATGTTTCTCTCTCATTGATGTTTCTAACTCTCTATCCCTCTCCCTTCCTCTCTGTAAAAAAAAAAAAAATCAATAAAATATATTAAAAAAGAAAAAGAAAAAGAAAACTACAATGATACCACCTCACACCCGTGAGTTTGGCCAGAATAAAAACCCAAACAGAATAACAAGTGTTGGTGAAAATGATGAGAAGTTGGAAGCTGGTGCACTGTGGGTGTGAATGCAAAATGGTGCAGGCACTATGGAAAACATTATGAAAGTTCCTCAAAAAGTTAAAAATAGGACTATCATAAGATGCAGCAATTCTACCTTTGTATATATACCCAAAAGAATTAAAAGCAGGATCTCAAAGAAGTATTTGTACACTCATACTCATAATAGCATTATGCATAATAACTGAAATGTGGAAGCAACCCAAATGTCTATTGATGATGAATGGGTGAACCAGGTATAGTATATACATACAATGGAATATTATTCAGCCTTAAAAAGGAAGGAAATTCTACAATATGCTATAACATGGATGAACCTCGATGACATTATAGTAGGAGAAAGTAGCTGGTCACAAAAAAAACAAATAGTGTGTGATTCTCCTTATTTGAGGTCCCTGGAATAGTCAAATTCATAGAGAGAGAAAGTAGAATGGCGGTTGCCAGAGGCAGGGGGGAAGGGGAAGTTAGTGTTTAATGGGCACAGTTTCAGTTTTGCAAGATGAAGAGTTTTGGGGATGAAGGTGGTGATGGTTGTGCAACAATGTGAATGTACTTAACACCACTCAACTGTACACTTAAAAATGGTTAATATGGCCCTGACCGGTTTGGCTCAGTGATAGAGCGTCGGCCTGCGGACTGAAGGGTCCCAGGTTCGATTCCGGTCAAGGGCATGTACCTTGGTTGCGGGCACATCCTCAGTGGGGGGGGTGTGCAGGAGGCAGCTGATCGATGTTTCTCTCTCATCGATGTTTCTAACTCTCTATCCCTCTCCCTTCCTCTCTGTAAAAAATCAACAAAATATATTTAAAAAATGGTTAATATGATAAACTCTGTTATATGTTTTTACCACAATTAAAACAAAATTTTAAAACAACTTAAAGGTTGTTTGCTGTCCTATTCTGCTGCTCTGCATTCTAACATCCTCCAGGCTCCATGCTCAGCACTGAGCGCGCAAGACCGCTACAGCTAGGGGCTCAAGTCAAAGAAAACAAGTTTCCCAGAAACAAGTAAGTGTAAACTATAAGACTTGAGCTCAATGGGGGGATGAGGAGGAGGCACTGAGGCTGAGACCTAAAGGAAGAAAAGGAGCAAGTTGTGCGGGGGAGGGGCAGATGGGGTGGGAACTCTGCCGAGGGGGTGTGGGGTGCCTCCCAAGGCCTCTGGCTAGGCCTGGGGCCACTCTTGTCCCTGAGCTCTCTGCACTGTCAGGCCGTGGGTTCTGTCTGCCGCTTCAAACTGTGAGCTTCCTGAGGGCAGTGGCTGTCCCATCCACACTGGTCCTGGACAGGAGCCCTTGGGGAGGAAGCAGAGTGGCCAGTTGGGACCCTACCAAGTGGGGCTGAGGGTCAGTGGATAAAGAGGAAGGACAAGAGGACAAAGACACTGAGGCAGAGGACTTCCTGGAGGGGATGCCCTGGTGGCGGGAACCACCTAGAGAAAGGCAGGAGCTCACTTATGATGAGCAGAACTCAAGGGGCCAGATGACAAATGACAGGCCCTCGGCTTCCCTGCAAGCCCCCACCTCCCTGGCATGCTGAGATGTTGTCTGTGGCTCTGGGCCACCAGGGCAAGGCACAGTCTCATGTGGTAACCCCAGTTCCCAGAGAAGTAAGATCCCCAGAATGATTCTAAACACCCACTGGGAATTCTCAGACACAGCTTCCCATAGCAAAGGTCCCCGGAAATGTCCTGCACTTACAACCACTGTAAATACCCAGCCACCGCCCCAGAGCATCTGTTTCTGGCTCAGATTTCCTTCTATAAGTTCTTAAAACTGTCCACTTCCTACTGCCCACACACATGACCATGACTTGCTGGCTGACCTCACCCTCTCTGTGCCCCAGCAGCAGACAGGAACTCACTGGCTAACCAATATCCCACACGAAGGGGACAGCAACCTACAGGTAGCTCTGAACGCCTGGTCCTGGATGGACAGAGGCTGAGCTCAGGCTGGTCCCCAGCCCACCGTGCCCAGGGTCACGCCTGCTCCTCCTCACTGGGCACTTAGCAGCTTGACCTGAGCATAGGGCAGCCACTTGACCTCACTCTGCCCGGAGAAGCTGCTTCAGGAGCGGGGCAGGCTGTGCCTGTGCTAAGGTGGCAATGACACCATGATCCAACTCTGGACATCCAGCAATAAAAACCCTAAGGGCCAGGAGGTGATGAGGTCAAGTTCTCACGTCCAGTTGACCAGAGCATTCCCATAGGGCAGTTGTTGGCCTGGGTCTTCATTTTAGTTCAAATGGCCCTGGACTGAGAGCAGCTTACAAGCTGCCTTCTGCTGCAGCACTAGGGAGGGTGCACCAGCCTAACCGTGAACTCGGCCTGCTGGTCCAGAGCAGGCCCTCCCTGCATGAAAGCCAACATCGAGTGGCTCAGCTGCCAGGGGAGCTGCACATGAATGGCAACCCAAAGACAATCACTTTTGTTCAGCTGGCTATTTTGTCTGGGTTTTTTTAATCCTCACCCGACGATTCGTTTAGAGAAGGGGAAGAGAGAGAAACAGAAACATCAACACCAGAGAGAAAAACATCCATCAGTTGCCCCCTGTATGCACCCTAACCAGGGATCGAACCCACAACCTAGGTACGTACCTTGACTAGGAATCAAACCTGCAACCTTTTTGGTGTCGGGACGGTGCTCCAACTGAGCCACCCGGCCAGGGCTGTGCAGCTGTTTTCAATGCAGCTGAGAGTGACTAATGTTTTCTGTCTTATGACAAGCACTGTGCTCAGTGCTGCACATCTATTAACTCCTTTGCAGATGAGGTACCTGGGGCACCTGGCCCAGGGAGGTGCTCCTCATACAAAGGCCTCTAGTCTCCCCTTTGCATTTGTTCACACAAGGTGGGCTAAAGATTCTTTAAATAAAGAATGCTTTCTGTGTCTGGCCTAGGGGTGGGGATAAAGCAGCTGTCCCCTGCAGGTCTGACCTGACTTCTCTTTCCAGTCTCCACTCTCCACTCCGATTCACTTTCCAAACTCTCGAAGGGTTGCAAACACACATTCCCTTGTTTCCCATCTGGCTGTTCACCTGAGCTCTTGCACTCTTTAAAAATGACCTAAATATGACCTCTCCTGCCCTTGGGGCCCCTCACACAGTCCTCACAGAGCACAGGCCTGTTTCTCCGTGAGTCTGGAGCTAGTAGGAAGCTGCTTCGTGCAACTCTGTGTCTCAGGCAAACTGCATGCAGCCAGGACAAAGTAGGTGCACAATAAATTATTCAAAAATTGTTTAAGAGCGGCTAATCTGTTCTTATTAAATGCAAACAGACAAAAAAGCTTGCATAGATTTAAGAGAACGCTTTTTAAGGGAGGAGATCAACATGCTCCTTCAAAAAAAAGCCAACTCATGTATCTAGTTGCAAAGAGAAGTGGGAAACCTCAACATAATTGTTCAGTCCTGACATAAACCCAAATCCAACCTCAAGGTTTCCAATCCCTTTACTTGTCAACCCTTAAAGCCAGTTTTATATTTCTTTTTGTAGACTTCAGATAACTTTATTTTATTTTTTTATTCTCATCTGAGGATATGTTTTTAGTTATTTTAGAGAGAAAGGAAGGAGAGAGAGAGAGAAACACCAACGTGAGAGAGAAACATCAATCAGTTGCCTCTGGCACATGCCTTGACCGGGGATTGAACCTGCCATCTTTTGTTACACGGGATGACACTCCAACCAACTGAGCCACACCAGCCAGATAACTTTCTTTTAAAAGAGGAAAAAAGACCAGAAATGTTTCAAGAAAATAACAAAGCACCCACATCCCCACCAGGCAAGTTTGCGACTTTAGACCTGACACAGAAAGCATCTGAGCAGGCTTCTCTCAAATGAAGCTGAGCCGCACCCTCCCAGCAAAGGGCAGGCTCTGACCTTCACTGTCTAATGAATTTCTAAGGGGCTGGGGAAACCTAACCATAAGTTCTAGAGAAACAGCCTCCTGTCCCTCCTAGTCCTTAAACACTATACAATTATTTAAAGGGCATATCTAGAACAGGAGGAGAAAAAGTAAAGAATAAGCACAAAACAAAATCAGACCCATCAACAAAAATAGTGCATTAACTAAAAATTAACACAACACATAGGAAAACATTTACAGACACAAACTGCATCACTGACATGTTGAGCACATTTCAACCACCCTGACTTGTTGCTTAGTGTGTCTGGCTGCAATGAATCGCTAAGGGAAACGGAGTGCAAGTACTTATTCCTAGGATCGCCCTGATCCCTGTAGGGAAGAGTGGCGGACTTCCTCAGTTAATCTCATTGAAAAAGAAAACTCTGCAACCTAAACTGTTAAAATCTGGGGATTGTTAAACTAGTTGCTCAGGCATCTATCACAATTTTGAGAGGAAAAAAAATAAAATACTGCAGAACCGGATTCACCTGAGCAGAATTCCATTTGCCTTCCCTTTAAAGCCATTTTGGAGCGAACTGTCAGGAAATATATTAGCTTCGCGCTGTCAAGGACATGACAGCAAGCGTGCTAGCCCGCCCACCTCGCCCATAAAACACCCGAGTGTAATGGCGAAGTCCACCTGCTCCTGGATCCCTGCTGGGCAGCTGGCCCAGAACTTACTCCCGAGACTCCGGAACTCAGGGCCTAGCTTGCGATGCCAGCTTTGCCATTTGCCAAGGGAGACCCTGGGCGCGTTCCCGAACCCGTCCGCGGCCCAACTTTTTTGTCTTTACACGGGGATGAAGCACCGAGTCCTGATTCACCGAGTCCCCGCGAGGCTCCGCTGGGATCGCGCAC